TTCTCTTATTTGTCACTTTGTCTGCTTCTCAATTATACTTTCAGACATGGCTGCTTCCTTCTGCAAATTAACCTTACCTACATTGTTTGGGATTAAAGGTGTGGACTAAGAGTGTGACTTTATTCCAGCCAGAGTAGCTAGATAGCTACTAAAATTGTCTTCCAGACATGTGATGGGCCCAGGACCCGAGCTAAGCCAGACCCTCCTCTCTGGGACTCACAGTCTAGGTTTATTGTCACAAAAGTAGAAAATGAGGTCCAAGATGGTGGTGCGTTCCTCTAAATACAGCACTTGGGAGGCAGAAGCAGGCCGATTTCTGGGACTCAAGGTCTATATATCAAGTTCTAGGCCAGCCAGGGTTACATAGTGAGACTCTGTCTTAGAGAGAGAAATTGTAGGCTGCTCTGAGCCAAGAGAGCCAAATAAATAAGCCTCCAATGTGGGGCAGTTACTGATTTAAGTATAAAGTTAAAATATAGGGATTGTTTGCTTTTAGGAAAGATTTATAAACAGATTTGTCCAGATCAGGTGGGGATTATCGCCCATGGTTTGGAACTTAGGGAAAATTGTCACTGGCTCTAGAGTAGAGTTATATTGCCTCATAGGAGACTCAGGTTCTGTCTAATGTGGGCCCCATGGGAATTCTGGGTTCATTTCCTGCTTGGCAAAATAGGGAAGGCCTAAAGAATAGGCATATACAGTATTTTAGTTATTGAATTGATTTTATTTCAAGATGGGTGTGATTTTTAGTTTTGTGGTTATACTTTTCCTCTGGGAAAGAGGTCAACATAAAAGTTTTTCTGGTTCCTGGCTCAAGGATATGCTGTTTTGGGAAGAAGGTTATGGATGTGTTTTTTCAGAACTGATGATTAAGGTATTTCTACCTCCCAGAATTATATGGATTAGACATGACAGAGGCAGGCTGCCAGAATACTAGATTCCAGAATTCAAACAAAAAATTATCTTCATACTAAGATTTGTTTTGAGAATTGTATATTGCAGAATACACAGCCTTAGTGTATCTACTCATCAAGCAAGCTGAGCAGATCTACTCGAACCTCTGATGTCCTGGAATTTCAGCTGGATGAAGTGAAGACAGAGACATCAGAGGCTTATCAATTTACCCTTCCCCCTGTCCCTCTTCTAACATCTCAATGCCCAAATTCAGCTTGAAGAAGTTAATGAAGAGTTGGTGCCCTATTCCCTGGGCTTGGGCACTGAGGTGGCTAATATTAGGCTTCCCTTCTAGGGAAAAGTTATGGTTTTATTGGAACAGGGGGGAATAGTTAGAATTGATTACTTAGCCATAACCTATTTGGCAGAAATCTGTATAATTGCTATTAAGCTGAAGTTATAATTTCTCAAATGGTGCAAAATTTACTTTGATTTCAAATTTAAGGTTTTCATTGGTACAAGTTTCTTATTGATATAAAAGTGAGATGAAAATTGTTACTCTCATAGGCATTGTGCCTATATAACACATTTAGGAATACAAGGCTTAGACCCAGTCCTTCTTTAACTTTTTTAACTGATTTGAGATGGGTTGCCTGTGAGTTAATGTCCTATAGCAATGGCATGGCTCTGAGTTTATCGTTAGGGTGTTTTCTATATTTAGAAATAGCTGAGAGGAGTTAATAAACAACAGTCTAGATTGCATTACATGGACAGTTGGTTTTCAAAACATCAGAAGTCCATAGAATTGACATTACAAACATTTCTGTATTAATGTTCATTTTGATTAGAGACCTGTCTGCTCCTGACAGCTTCCCTGTCTTGGATTCTAAGAAGAAATTGAGCATCTTTGGAGTTACTCCAGTTGTGGTGAGACAGCCACTAGGCAAAAATTGCCTCTTTTCATCTACAGACAAATTACTGTCCAGAAAAGGACACACTTGTGAAATAGTCGACTGATTATGTCTGCCAAGACAGAGTAATCAGCCCTTAATAATTCTGCATCACTAGGTCTGTCAGATGATCCTGGGCCAGAAGGCTGAAGATCGGATGCTCCAACATTTTGAAGTATAGGGACTGTCCAGATGTTCAGCGGTCTCTATAAATTGGCTAAGTTTTAGAAGCTATGCTTTGTGCTTCCCATAATTTCAGTTAATTCAGTCATTCTGGATTTCTGATGAGGTTGAAGACTTACAGTCTCATAGCCAACCCATGCTATTTACTTTGAGAAAACAGATTTGAGAGGATGGTTTTCAGCTGACATTCATTCTAAAGCCAAGAAAAAAGCCAGATTCAGAACTAAGTCTTTTAGTTAGGAGAGATGACAGAGGTTCTGGTTAGTCAACAAAATGTTGGACTGGGAATTAGGTCTATCTTGTACCTTACTGATACAAATTGGTACAATTATGCTCTAACTGTATTTTGAGAGAACAGTTTTATTCACTGGAAGGAATAATACGTAGGAAGGGTGATATGTAGGAGGAGCTAAGGTGGGAGGGGTAAGGAGAGGAGGAGGAGAATGAGAGGAGGAGCTAGAAGACGAGGTGGGGGAACACGGAGGTGGATGGGATGTTCGAGTGTCTCCGCCAGTCAGAGATAGTTGATATAGCTAGGTTGGGTATTGGGTTACACTTCTGATTGTATGGGCATCTTGTTATTGAGCATTACCAAACTTATAAAGCCTTTGATTAACATTTTAAAAATAAGTTACTAATAAAAAAAGGGATAAGGATGGAGGGTGATGGAATACATGTGACAGGAAATCAGATGAGGAAACTAGCTGGAGGAAGAAAGGAAAGAGGCAGAGGGAAACAATTCAGAACTCTAATGACACATGTATGAGGATGCTGTAATAAAACCCAGTACTTTGTATGGTTTTTATTTTTTATTTTTTTGTTTTTTTGTTTTTTCGAGACAGAGTTTCTCTGTGTAGCCCTGGCTGTCCTGGAGCTCACTCTGTAGACCAGGCTAGCCTCGAACCCTCGAACTCAGAAATCTGCCTGGTTCTGCCTCCCAAGTGCTGGGATTAAAGGTGTGCACCACCACCACCCGGCAGTACTTTGTATGTTAACTTAAAATACTAATAAAGAAAAAGAAAAAAGAAAAAACAGCCTTTCGGGGACAGCGTGGAAGATTGGCAGAGCCATCTCCCATGCTGGCATCTCGTGGGTGGCAGGGCTGGTGTTTCTAGCTGCGGCATGCACGTGGCCTCTGACCATAGAACATGGCGGCTGAGCTAGGCAGAGCCACCGCAGCTTAGATAGTCGGCATGACTAGCGGCCGTTTTTTATATAATTACTACAACACCACCCTGAGATTCAGGCTTTCTTGTTTATACCATGAGAAGATGGTAGTTGTTAATCTCTGGCGGTGTCTGCATGCCAGACTCTTCTTACATCAGTGAGTTTAGGATGAGCCAGGCCTAATTAACTTTCTCAGGGCCCTGAAACCTGGCCTTCTGGAAACATCCCTAGCATTGACCACGCCTGGTTCCCAACACTGAAGGTGGTGAAAGGTTGTGACTGAAGCTCAGAAAGAAGACCTGACACCGTGAGGAATTTTAAGGAACCAATAGGGAAGAGCTGAGGGCCTGAGGAGTCTCCCGGGGTCTTTTCTACTCTTGCTGTGGGCACATGGCTTTAATTCCAGCACTCCAGAGGCAGGGGCAGGAAAATCTCTGAGTTTGGGACCAGCCTGGTCTACATATCAAGTTCCAGACCAACTGGTGCTACAGAGTTCAGGAGGGCAACCACAAAGGCTGACCTTCCCAGGTCCAGTCTCCAGGCGACTCAGATTATGACAATGAGTGGCTCCTGTTTGCCCAGGTTTACCTTGCTTAGGGCCCAGCTTCCTGATTACCTCTCACCTTGATTCTGCATGCTCTGGGCCTTCCTCACCTGCAGGTAGGTTCCCTCCTCTGTGGTCTGAGGAATGTTAATCAGCCTCTCCCTTCTTCCTCTGAATGTTAATCTAGCAAGTGTCCTCCGACTAAGGAATGTGCCCCTCCCGGGATGTGTCCTGAGACAGTGAGATTCTAAGTTTGAACTAAGACCTAAAATTCCTACATTTGGTTCCTACACAACCTCCACAAATCCTCCCTGAAGGAGCACTGCCAGAGGGCTGAGTTCATCCAGTATGATCTCTTGGTTGACAACGGTAAAACTGAGGCCAGCAAAGGGGAGGGATTTACTGGAAGTCCCAAAGGAAAACAGTCATGAACGCCATCTAGAACTCGGGTCTTCAGGTCAGGATTCTTGCTTCTACAGCTGAGGTGTCCTTTCAGGAAATTCCCAACCGAGCCACAATTCCTTCCGCGCTAGGAATCCCCCAGGAGTGACAAGTTGTAAACTTCCTCCGCAGCTCTGCAGTTCTCAGCACCCTAAGAGAGAGGTGAGACGCAAAAGAACGTCCAGGACATCCCTGCAATAACTTGTAGCTGGGAGTGTCCGGGGGTGGCGGCAGCAGGATGACCCGGTGGGAATGCGCTGGCCCTTTAAGGGGGGGACGGAGCGCATGCGCAGCGCGGGCCTGAGTCGAGCCGGGTGGGCGGTGGGAGGACTGGGGACCCTGCTGGCCGCAGCGGTGGCTTCTGCTTCGCCGAGCCGGGACGCAGCGATCGGCCGATGGGCTGCACCTTCTCGGGCTGTTGCTCTCCCCGGGGATCCACGCACCGGTGCCCGCCCAGGCTTTGTCAGTCGATTCCAGCCGCCGCCGCGGGCGGAGCCTGAGGACCTGCGCTCGCGCCCCACACGCCCAGCTTCGCTCGGCTTGGCCGCGGGAGCCCTAGCGCAGCATCCTTTGCCCGCTGATGCTGCAGCTGGTGGCCAGCGGCGAAGCTGCGGCTGGAGCCTCCCTCTCAGTGACCTCTGCCCGGTCCCCGAGCGTCGCCCGAGCCGCTCTCCACGATGGCTGAGCTTGGGGCTCCGCGCCCCGCTTTGGCTCGGCTGGGACCGTTCCGGGCCAGGTGCCCCTGGTGCCCCCGCTAAGCCGCGCCAGGCCGGGTATCGCAGGGCCCGGGCGCCCCTAGCCCTCGCCTCCCCGCCGCGCCCTTCCTCTCCGGCCCTCTCCGCTGCTGCTCCCTGGGGCTAGGGGCTAGGAGACCCAGACAAAGCCCCACTTTGTGAGGGAGGCAGGCTTGGAATGTGCGCGGCGGCGCGCACCCTCTCCCCGTCCCACCAGCTTCGAGTCTTAGCTACCGGGAGGGTCGCGACAGAGAAGTCACCTCGAGCATCGCCCCTCTACCCTTGCATCCCCGGCCCCCGTGATCCAGACTTGGAGCTCACGCGGGCCCCCTCCGCTCGCGCCAGTGTGAGTGAGCGAGGATTTCGTAGAGGAATTTGTTCTCTCCAAAACTGGGAGTGGGCACCGGTGCCTTGGCCCGCCTTTTTGGTGTAGCTGCAGGTCTGAGCTGTCTAGCCTCAGTCTCCCTACCCCGGCCCCCACTTTTCTCCTCTCAGCCATCCTAGATTGCTGTGGGTCATTGTTCTCGCTGCCAAATGGGGGCGATTTGTACAGGCTGCCAAGTTGGGGTGTGTTCTCTTTATCCTGTTTTCCAAACAAAACAAGGCCTCTAAGGCCAACCCTGGGCAACCCACCTGGCCATCACTTCAGGTTGATGCTCTGAGTCCTTACCAAATGGTCTTTTATTGTACAGGAGCCACGCCCTGGTTTCTTAAAGGTGCCAGGCACTGTTTGACCATGTGTTATCTTTATAGCGGGTGTGTGGGAGGCCTCCTGTGAGGCACTTATTTCCCCCCCCTCCTCCCTGACCATCCTCCCACCCCCGTTGAGGATTTAGGAATGCCAGGAGGAAAGAAGGTGGTCCCAAGTGGCAGCAGCAGTGCCTCCCCGAACGCAGCCGCCGCCACCGCTGCTGCTGCTGCTGCCCACTCTGGCATTAAACGTTTGGAGACCACCGAAGGGGCCTCAGCACAGAGAGACGAGGAACCCGAAGAGGAAGGGGAAGAGGACCTACGAGATGGAGGTGTCCCTTTTTTCATCAACCGAGGTGGACTGCCAGTGGACGAGGCCACCTGGGAAAGGATGTGGAAACATGTGGCCAAGATCCACCCAGATGGAGAGAAAGTGGCCCTGCGGATCCGTGGGGCCACCGACCTGCCCAAGGTAAGACATGAACAGACCAGGCACAATGAAGATGGGTTTTATTGACCTTGGAGCTAAGAAAGTAAACCACACGAATCATGTTGTTGATGAATGAAGTAGAAGGACCATTGTTGTGGTATAGGTAGGTGCCACCTGTCCAGAAGTTTCTTTCCAGTGCTTTTGGAGTCATCTGATGGAGGCTCGGTCTCCTATCTCTAGGAGGCCCTCCCCCATGGCTTCCTGAGCAGGACTACAAATGAACTGGAGAACTGGTGTAGCTTGGAGAAGACAGATTACTATGAGGTTAAATGCCGGGAGAGTGCAGGACTTTCCTATATTATATACTGAGTTTGACCAACAGCATTCCAAAGGAAGTGCAGTTTGGTTTCCCCATTTAAGATGAGAAACTCAAAAAGTATGTGAGAAATAGCAGAGTTGGGGGTCCCACGTCAGGTCTTGGGGTTCCATTTGCTCAACTCTGATGAGCACCAGATTCAGTGGCATTCGCAGTGACCCTGTGGGGAAAAGATAAGTTAAATGTTCTCCTGCATGAATTGGAATTCCTCCACCACAGCAGTGCCTCTGTAGGGCTGCTGAGTAAGGAGAGCCTCTGTCTCATTCATCTTTGTCTTCTTGAGGTCTCCTGTGTGCCTGGCACAGGGTGGGGTGGACACTTATGTGTGTTTGCTAAATGAAAGGACATTTGGGATGTGCTGTACTGGGCAGTGCTATACTAATAAAAATGTGCAGGCACAGGAGAGAGAGAGAGAGAGAGAGAGAGAGAGAGAGAGAGAGAGAGAGAGAATGAGAATGAATTAGTTTAATGTTTATGGTTCAATCTGAGAAAGCACTGTTCCAAGTACCGAGGCCACTGGTCAGAAGCCAAAGCCTAAGGGTTAGTCCTGAAGGAAGAGAGGGAGAATAAATTACTGATACACAGAAACCAAGCCTGTTTTTCTCTTGGTAGAACCATCAGGAAAAAAAAAATGTTTTTGGGAAAAGATAATCTGAGGTCAGAGGTTGAGCTGCTGCCTAATGTCCCCAGGGGAATAAGCTAGACTGATTTTGAACAGTTACATCACCATCTTCTCACTTATTTGGCTAATCTGAAGCTGGACATTGTTTCCACAGTCTTATCCTTAAAACGGACACTGTGCAGAACATTCTAAAACACAAATTCGGGGATTCAGCTTTTATTTTTGACCTTGGGACAGATAGCTAAACAAGAAAGTATGACATCGTGGGTTTGGGGTATTGTTTTGGATCACCTACCTGCCCGTGTGAGCTCAAGGCATTCCCCCCCCCCCAACCCAGACTGCTTGAGTTAACAGCTTTCTTATCGGTAAAGTGGGCTAGTAGTGCAGAGGGTGAACTGAGAAACTATGTTAAACGTCAAACTGCAGACGGGGATTGTTTCGAGGAGAGAGATGAGATGCCATTCAGAGCATCTGACTGATGAGGCCAGAGTCATGCTCCACACTGTCTGGCTCTCTTGGTTCTGTCTGAATTGGGCCATACATACACAGGAAGGTGACACAATGGTCAGTGCTTTGGAGGTGTTGGGCCATCAGTGTCTTCGATAGTGATTGTCACTAATGTCGTCTTCAGGCCTCATGTTAGGAAAGGACCTGTTTGAACCAATGAAGCTGTTTGTTGGGGAAGAAAGTATGGAGACAGGAGTATGGGGGGGGGGCGTGGAATTTTATGAGAGGTATTTTGGACATTTTGAAACCTCATCTTTAAGTCTTTGGGAATGTGTCTCTGGTGTGGGAAGTGAGGAAGCCTGACGTTCAACTGTTACTTTGACTCAGGGAACCCTTAGGATGCAGGAGAAATGAAGGAGTCCTAGAAGCTTTGTAGAAGAGCAGCAATATCGGGTGTCATACTGGGAGCTGCAGAAAGGCCTGACCCTGACCTGTCCCGTGTGGCCTGCTGCAGAGGGTCACACTGTCCCATGATGGGCCCTTGGAAGGGTTTCTTAGGATACACAATGTCCTAACAGACTGCCTGAGCTAACCATTAACATTAGGTTTCTCACACAGTGATCCGTAATGTGGCATCTTAACAGGAAAGGAAGAGAAATGGGAACAGCGGGAGTATGGCAGCTGCCAGGAGGGGTTGGGATGTGTTTCCCCCTCCCCTACTTTGCTACAGCTTCTCAGAGACCCCACCCACCTTCCCTGAGTTTTACAGGCTAGGTCTCTGCTGGAAGCTGGATCCACAACAGCAGAGCAGTGCAGTCAAAGCCATGCCCTGGTGGGGGAGCCATCATGTTCACTCACCCTTGCTATCTTGTAACTAATAAGAAGAGGCTGTGTCCTTGCCCCTCGGCAGCCCCAGCTGTCAGTGGATCAGCGGCAATGCCCCTTTCATGGGGATATTGAGATGAACTGATGGTGGGAAGCGTGTAACACCTCATTAGGTGAGCATCTAATAGATCCTCAGTGGTGCACAGAGTAGGCATGCAGCAAGCCATGGGTACTTGCAGACTTCAAGAGCAATGTCAAGCATAACAGTTTCTACAAGGATCCAGAAGCCAGCAGCAGGCTATGCTCTTGCATAAGAATATCTCCTTGTCATTTCCAGCTGCTGTCCCCTTTGAAAGCCCACCAACCATTTACTTAAACCTGGCTGCTGTAGGCCTAGCTGTGGCTTTGACCATTGAGCACTTGCAGATGGGAACCCAGGCATCTCTAGAGGGCCAGATAGCCTGGGGCAGTGTGTGCCCAACAGTCTTTGGCACATATCAGTAGCCAGGTGTTGGACAGTGTTCTGAAGCATTGCTTGCAAGAGCTCAATGATGCTCGCCAAGATGGGTTCCATTACTGCCCTTTCATGAGTGAGGCTCATTCCCCTGTGAGACATCTGAGGTACCACTGTTCAGGAGTTCCCCTGAAACCATAGGGCTGGATTCCGTAGCATGGCTGGTTCTGTCTGCTGTGTTCATCACTAAGTCTTCCTGTAGGGTTGTCCTAGAACCCTGGACTGTCTGGTGCTTGGACCAGGCTTTGCTCCTGGTAATGTGGTCTCCAAGGATCATAGGATCCTCGTCAGTTCTGACTCTTCTTCCACGCTGGCCTTCTTGCCAGGCCCTTTGTGCGGCAGGGATCCATGATGCTTTTGTGGGTACCCCCGTTCCTGGCTTGAGTCTGTTCCCAAATCTCTCTGCCTGAGCTTTGGCAAGTGTTTCTGCTATGGCTCCTTCCCTGTCCAGAGTAGCTCATGAACAGGTAGGTGGGTTCAGTCACACATCTCCAGTTGCTGGGATCTACTTATCAAGAGGGAGTGACTCTGCTACACTGAGAATGCCCCCCACCCAAGGTACGGTGACTTGGGTGGATATGCTTACCCTTGACCAGGATGGTCAGGCAGCCCATCCTGAACAGTTCTGGTGTGCATTTGGCACAGAGTGATCAGGCAAGCGAAGGCCACCCTGAGCTTGTCTCCTGCTGGTGGCTGTGAGTGACAGTGCTGGTTTGAAGATGGGAGTGATGTAAAAGGGGAAATAACCTCTCCAGGCTGTGGTATCTGCTGCTAGAGACTGCCTAGACAGGAAGCAAAGGGCCCTGGCGAGAGGAGAGGGAAGAAGGACATGCTAGACAGCTTCTCTGAGCCAGGACCCTTCCTTCCTGCATCTCCGCCCTATGGAGTGAGGCAGTATCTATTAGAGACACCGCCCTGGTCTCCCACCATTCAAAGCACCCCAGAGACAGGTGTGTGGTGATAACCGTGTGTTACTTCCCTTCCTGATCGAGCCCAGCCACAACTATGGTGGTTGTTTTTTAAAATCGATTTAAAAATCGATTGTTTGATTTAAAAACATCTGTAGGTCCGGCCTAATGAGGATGAATCCTTCCTTCTCCATAGAGCCCCACCCTGAGCGTACCCAGGACACTGGTACCCCTTCTATTTACTCCTACCCTTACATTTGCAGCTAGGTGGGCATGGGCAAGCTCCCTTGGAGGGTCAAATGGCAACCCACTGGGAAAGAGTAGGAGCATACTGCTCAGGGATGGAGTGGGTGGGGAAAGGGCATTTTGAAGTATGACTTGACCCATAATTCCCTTGTCCCACTGCCACACTCCTTGACCATTCAGGTTGGTGCTTTGGAAGCCCTGGCACACCTGTCATGCCAGTGAGGTGGATGACACCCCTTGCTGAGGTTATATTCACCCGTCCAGGACAGATCCCCTAGTTTAGGGTACCACCTGGTAGAATGGAACATTGAGAAAAACAGTTGTAATCTAGTCCTCAAGCCAGAGTGTATTAGTCTGGTTTTTGTTGCTATAACGAAATACCTGAGGCAGGACACTTATGAAGAAATGAGGTCTACTTAGCTTGCAGCCTTGAGGACTGAAAGGGCCCCTGTTGGTTCAGACTGGGGTAAGGTCTAACGGCGATGGATGGGATCATGACAAAAGCATGAAAGATCACACTGGAAGCAAGAGGCAGAGGAAGGGGGAGCTGTGTATTGCCCCTTTGATGACAACCCTGAGAACTGCCTTCTTCCTCTCCAAGGGCACACCTCCAGTTCCCTAATACCGTCATCTGGATCCCACTCAATATTACCAACCCAAGAACAGTCTCAACACCTTTGCCACATCCAAGCCATAGACCAGAGTGAACCCCAAACCCAAACAAATTAATCGCAATACAGACATTCTCATTAAGTATTGATTCATGTATATTTTAAATTTAATCAGTGGATCCTCCTGTGCTTTCTAAAATTATTTAATAGCATAAAATTCCAAGGTCAACATAGGCTCTACATTAGAAGTGCAGTCAGGTGTCAGGGATGGCTGAGCTTGTGCCTTGGGAGGAGGCTTGGGAGGGAGGGCTTGCCAGGGAAAATAGCTCAGAAGTAGGAGCCTCCCCAAGCTCCCCAGGGTGTTGCTGCTGGGGGGGGGGGTGGCGCTGGAAGCTCCAGGATGTGCCTCTCCATGTGACAGAGATTTTTCTCCATCTGTCCCTAGATCCCCATACCAAGTGTGCCTACTTTCCAGCCGACAACGCCCATCCCTGAGCGCCTGGAAGCCGTGCAGCGCTACATCAGGGAACTGCAGTATCCTCTTGGGTCCAGAGTTGTGACCACCACTTAGTGACAACCCCAAAGATCAAGTGGGACCTGGAGAGGGATCTGCAGGGCCAGCACCCTCCCAACTTCACTGGCATCACTCTTCCTGGAGCTGCTGAGGCTGTGTCTGAGTGCTGGACTCGCTCCAGCTTTCCCATCCCCATGCTGTGTGTGTGTCAGAGTGTGTCTGTGTTTGTGTCTGTCCCTGTGTATGTCTGACTGTGTTTGTGTGTGTGTGTGTGTGTGTGTGTGTGTGTGTGTGTGTACAGGAAGAAAAGGGGGCTTCTAAGCACCTTGCTGAGGAAAGGGGATGTCAGCTGTAATTCATCATACCCCAGCCAAGGGATAGAAGCAGCTCTTTGAGGGTCACTACAGTGCTCGATTTGAGGGGATAGGATAGGGACAGGATCTTCTGCTCTAAGGTATAAATAACATCTACACCTTAAAGTTTTCTCCTAATTCTTGGCATTTTTTCTTCTATGGCTGGAAGACCTAATGTCTCTGCCCTAGGCCCCTGGAGCTTCTGCCCAAGCGCTACGAGTGTGCCCTGGGTCCTGTCCACCTTATTTGCTTGATCCTGTGGCTCATACACTCTGCCTTCTTAAAGACACAGGACCACCAGCCCAGAGGTGGCACAACACTCAATGGGCTGGAACCTATCCCTGTATCAGTCAGTAATTAAGAAACTTCACCACAGGCCGGTCTGGTGGGGGCATTTTCACAATTGAGGTTCCCTGTTCCCAAATGTCTCTAGCTAGTATCACACTGACATAAAAGTAGCTGGCACAGGGGAAGTAGTGGTAGCCCCTCCAGCCTTCTTAGTTGTTTGGAAAGCCCAGCACTGCCAGAAACTGTCCCCAGCTAAGCTTTCTCAGCACAGCTGGGCTGGCTGCCCACTCAGTGTCCTCCCTGAGACAACAGGCCAAGAGGGAACAAGGGACTTTGCCAAAGAGCAGGGTGAGGGGCTATGAGCTTGAGGTGAAACCCATGCCCTACCTTCCCCTTCTTCCTGGAGAACAAGTCCAAAGTGTCCTGCAGAGTGCTTTGTGGCAGATGCTCCTGGGGCTTCTGTAGCCATCCTAGGGTCTGGGATGGCAGCTGAGGTAATGGTGTCTACAGCCTTCCAGACCACGCCAGGAAGTCCTTAACCACTGCCCCCAGGTACAATCACACAGGGACACAGTTCTTTGAAATTAAGAAGAGCAGACCTCTGACAGGGTAAGTACAAAGCCACTGGGTTTACTCCCCTAGGGAACCTCTGTGGTTTGTGTTCTAGTGACAGCTTAAGGGGTTGGCAGGGACTTTCCTGAGAAAAGCCAACTATGGGATGGGGGCAGGGTGCTACCCTGGGGCCCTAAGGAAGGAAATCCCAATGAGATAGCCAGCCACCCAAGGCTCATAAAGGAAGCACAGTTGAGCCCTTAGGGTAGCCCCTAGCCCCACCCACAGCCCTAGACCCACCCAAAGCCCCCCCCCCTCCCCCAGCTTGTGGGATGTGGGAGGGAGCAGGGAAGACCATTTCCCGTTTTCTTCCCTTGAAGCCTCCCGTGTGCTCTGCATTATATGGTACCTACAAGAAAGAAAACTGTTCCTCTCACCCCCCCCCCCCCCGTAGTCCGTCATGACTCAGCATGCAGACTTGAACTGAATCTCTTGTTGGAGACAAGATGCTTATTTACTTAATCGTGGGGAAATATCCTGAGTTGCTTATCTGTTTAATTAATTGGCCCCCTCTTGGAGCCCTTGGGTGGAACCACATTCTCTAATTCCGGGCTTTGCTCCTGTCCTTCAGTTGCTGCTGTGTGCTGATGCCCCAGTCCATCCTCTGGTAGGATGCAGGTGACCCAGACAAAGCAGAGGCTAGCCTGAGTCCCTAGACCTGGAGGATAGGCTATTCTGATACAGCCTAAATTCCAAGTTCAGGGGTAGGCAGGCAAGCCGAGTGACAGCTGTCGGCCTGGGATCCTACATCCAGGCTACAGAGAGTATTTTCCATCGTTGGCACGCTCTTTGGGCCGCTTTGGCTAGTTGAGGCGTATCCGCTGTGCTCAGGAAGGGACCCCATCAATGCTAAGTTTCTCCCCTCCCAAGCCCTACTGCCATGGGAGAAGGCATGAACTCCTCAGATCCCAGCTCCATTCAGGCTCCCCTTCCCCAGTCTTTGAGCAGCAGCCAGGCCAGGAAAGAGGAAGTAAAGGAAAGAAGGACAAACAGTAGGCCCCAGTGCTTGCCTCCTTAACCCCCCCCCCCTTCAGACTTAGGAGAGGGAAGGAAACACCAGGCCTGGGGGAGGCAGCCTGAAGGCAAGTCTCTGTCCTAATCTTTTTGGCTCATCACCAAATAGGGCCTGAGAGGGTTGGAGACAGTCTCCACACAGCTCCGCCTCCCTTTCTCATAGGCTGATGGACCTGGCCAAGGAAATGACCAAAGAGGCTCTGCCAATCAAATGCCTGGAAGCTGTGATCCTGGGAATGTATCCTTCCTTAAGCCTGGGAGAGACTGGCTCAGACTGGCCCGGCCTTGGCTGGTTGCTGTGTAATGGAAGGATCCTAAGGGCTTCCTGTGCAAACATCTATTGACTCTCAGCTTGGTGTAGCCTCCCAAGGTGGAGGAGGCTCTGTAAAATGGAGTTTCCTTGGAGAGGTCTTCCTCTCCGTGCCTCTTCTTGCTACCTTCCCAGGCTGGCTGGATAGCTTGTTTTGAGTCCCATGGTCAAGGTGACCCTGTTTTTGGAACTCCAACCCTGGGTACAGTGTTATAACCTGGCTGTTGTGTCATTTCTAAGAAACACTCTGGGAAAAGCTGCATAGAGGCCCAGTGTTGGCACGCCAGATAGTGCTGATTTATAGAGATGACAGATGGGGTTTTGGAAGCAGAACTACCTAAAAAGATGCACACGGTTTCTCAGCCAGCCCTGCAAGGGCAAAGGGGCACCTAGGAAGACTTGACAGGCGCCCAGGAGAAGTGATCCTCTGCAGGATCCCAGTCAGGGCTGGGGAGCAGACAGGTATATATGGTCAGTTTGTCTTCTGAAGGGGCTCTTCGGCACACATAGCCATCCTGACCTAACCCTTTCCTTAGCACTTTGATTAACCAGTTACCTCACCAACAGCATGCCCACCCTGGAACGCTTCCCCATCAGCTTCAAGACCTATTTCTCAGGGAACTACTTCCGCCACATTGTGCTGGGGGTGAACTTTGGGGGCCGCTACGGAGCCCTGGGCATGAGCCGAAGGGAAGACCTGATGTACAAACCCCCAGCCTTCCGCACGCTCAGTGAGCTCGTGCTGGACTACGAAGCAGCCTATGGCCGCTGCTGGCATGTGCTGAAGAAGGTAAAGCTGGGTCAGTGTGTCTCCCACGACCCCCACAGTGTGGAACAGATCGAGTGGAAGCACTCAGTGCTGGATGTGGAGAGGCTGGGGCGGGAAGACTTCCGCAAGGAGCTGGAGCGTCATGCCCGAGACATGCGTCTCAAGGTTAGCATCAGCAGTGGTCCACGGGGCCAGTGCCAATCGACTGCTGCTTCCTCACAGGATCCCCTCCATGCCTTTCTTACCCAGTTGTCCTGACCAGTAGGGATTGCCTGAAGATGCAGTATCTACTTGAACTCAGGATTGGGCATTACTCAGTTCTGTTGCTAAAATCCCTTCAAGGGGGCAGAGCAAGTACTACTGTAGAAGTAGGAAAGGAGTGAGCTGGGTTTGCAGTCATAGGTCTGTGCAGTTGGACATGGGAGGGATGGCGACATGGTACTCTAGGCCTGGGTGCTTTGAATGGAAGAAGCAGACACCCAGCCTGTCTGAGAGTGGGGTAGGATGGGGTAGTGAGCAGCCCCCACGTCTCCTGTCCATCTCGACTCCTGAGCCCCTAAGCTCCCTGCTGGCAGTAAAGGACCAGGAGGAAATCAGCAGAAACAGGAAGGTTCACCTATGGGGAAGACACTGAGGGTGGTGGACCCTCCTCTTCTCTTCCACAACTCAGAGTTGGAGGATTCTCACGGACCAAGAACAGTAGACTCAGATCCCAAGGAGTTCCCTCCCATGGGCTTCTAGTAGACAGAATTGGTGAGGGGGCTGTCAGTCTTCCTAGACTGGACATACCTTTCCTAGGGCCTGCCAGGGCTCTCCCCAGAAGGGTCAGCCCCTCTGTATTATTCAGCCCTACTGCACTGTGACCTGCTCCTCCAAAACGCTACAGTTAGCATTGCTTTCCCCTAAGGTAGAACCTGTCATAGGCCTGTATTACAGAGGGGCTGACCCTCTGTGCCTGGGCCACTCCCTTCCCCCAACTTGGTTGGTAAGCCTGCAGGGGGCCCGCCCACCCCCACTCCCCCAGCTCTCACTGTTGAGAGCGTGGTAGTGTTTTCCAGGCAGCTCCAAGTTGTAGATAAAGATGGAGCTTATGGATCCCTCTCTTGAGTGCTGTTGATTTCCAGACAGCTCAGCGCTGGACTCCTCATGTTGTAAAAAGTTTTCCTACCAAGGTGTTTTCCAGTCCTATGACAGCACAGTGATGCCTCCCACACGTATGTTTGGGACCTTCAGGGAGTGGACAGTCCTACTGAGGATTTGCTGCCCCAGTGGCTTTAGGGCCAGGGATGACCCAGAGATGGGGTAAAGGCCACCTGAGGCTTGGAGTACAGGCTGCATAGGGATGATGGCTTCCAGGAACCGTGGCTCCTAGCAGGACAGAGTGGGCTGTGCGGCAGCTCAGAACATCCTTTTCTTTCTTCCTCCCTATCCAGATTGGCAAGGGGACAGGCCCTCCTTCTCCCACCAAGGACCGGAAGAAGGATGTTTCCTCCCCACAGAGGGCCCAGTCCAGCCCCCATCGCAGGAACAGCCGCAGTGAGAGACGGTGAGGAAGGAGACCAAACAAAATCTTTCCCTTTCCCTTCTTCACTCCTCCTTTCTCCTCCCCATCCTTTGCTCTTTGAGAAGTCACTTGGGACAATGGGTCCGGGTGTTTATGTGTTGGCAGCCTAACGGCAGTTTGGTGCTATTCCCCTAAAGAAAAGGCCCCTTAGCTGGGTCTGGATGCTCTGGGCCTGACCAGAAAGTTTGAAGACAGAAGGTCTGAGGCAGACAGCAGAATGGACTGAGGAGGAAGGAAGGACCCAGTAGGGCTCCCACAAGGCCCTGAGCTCTCTTAAAGTTTGTTAAAAGGCCTCCGTATATGACCAGAGGCTGTGCAGCCAGGACTGAAGGCTTTGAACACAATGTTTGTCTCCTAGGGTCTGGATTTGTGTCTGTGTTCAAATGGCTAGATTTGCTATTTAAATATCCGGCCTCTCGCTCTGCCTCCCTTCCTCTCCTACATATTATTCTGGCTTTAATTATAACTGTGCTGTGAAGCGAGGGGGCACTGAGCAGACTCTAGTGCTGAAATACTCATTGCCCCTACCTTTGATCTAGGAGGCTTTTGTAGGGAGCCAGTTCCAGGTTGTACTTGAAGCTGTTACCCACAAGCTATGTCAGTCTAGTAACCATCATCAGAAAGCAGGAGGCTGTGTGACCGCAGGGGACCGATCATCTAGGATCTTTAGGCTGGCTCCTGGTTCCACAAACACTCCCCACACCCTCTGCTGTAGCTGTAAGGGCCCCTTAGAGGGGGGAAGCCAGTGGGACAGCTCTCCCTTCCTTCCCCTTCCCTTTCTCTATTTCCCTAGTAACCACTGGCTCCTCTTCTGAACCTTCTGCTTTTCTTCCTGCAGGCCTTCAGGGGAGAAGAAGCCTGCAGAGCCGAAAGCCATGCCAGACCTCAGTGGGTACCAGATCCGGGTGTGAGGCAGATGCCAGCATCCCCAGGCCTCCTCTGCTTCTGGAGGCCGAGACCCACCTGCACGAAAGAACCTACTTCATTCAGGCAGGGGCTGGTGATGGGGCAGGCTTGGGGTGGGAGGCAAGAAGGATGTCTTGCCATTCAGCCCCAGGTGACCTCCCCTCCCATGAAGCCAAGCCCCTAATTGTGGGTCAAGAAGCAGTTAGTATTTTATTTGGAGTTTTAGCTCTACAACTGAAGTATAAGGTATGAAGGGAAAGACAAATGGACATGTTGGTAGCTGTCAGGGTCTGCTCCTCTCTCTCTTTCTCTCTCTGAGCACTGCGTGGCTTGGGGAGGAGGGCTGCCTGGTTCTGTGGTGCTCCTCTCAACAGTGATCAGGGTTGGTGAGCCTCGGCTGTCAGTAGGGTGAGGGTGAGGTGGTGTAGGAATGGAGATATTTTTTCAAGCTGGGCCTGTCCTGGCAGAATTATGACCCAGGAAAAGGGAAACAGGGTAGGCGGAGTTCTCCTGAGAAAGGTCGATTTATTTTTCAAATCAGGAACTTGGCAGAAGCCACATCTGCCTAAGGTGGACGCCTATGGCCCAGGAGAGCCTTTTAGACAGCACTGTGCCCCACCCTCCCAATACCCCTCTACATCTTCACCATGGCCAGTTTGGGATTAGGCTACAGGAGAACCAGGAGAGGACCGTAGCAGGAAGAGTTCTGGTCCCTAGCACATCTATCCAGTGACTATTGCTTGCAGAAGGGCTGGGCTTTGTAGATTACTCAGACTTGTACTGGGGACACCATGACCTTAAGAAACTGGCTGGGCATGGGGTAGTTGAGTGGAGCTCTCTAGTTGTGTAGGAGTGGGCTCTTCTCTCCTCTTATAATCTCAGCACTTGCTGGAGAAACAGGACCAGACCGGCTGCCTATCCCCCAGGGCGCCTTCCCTGCCTTAGCTGCCTGCTTAGGCTTGGAGTAGCAGCCAGTTTTAGCAGCTCCTTGGGACACTGACGGGGGAGCCCAGGCAATAGGAGTTGTCTGTCCCTGGACCTGGGGCACAAGATCCCTGGTAGGAAAGTTAGGTGTGGAGAGTGGTTGTCTGGGCTGGTGGAGGAGAGCCAGCCCTTGAGTTGGGAGTGTAAGTGAGAAGGGCTGAGGGAGGCAGTTCAGGATGGGGCTGCATGGGAACTGTGAGAACCGAGTTCCCTGCAGCACAGGTGGCACTTGTCAAGTTGCTGGAGGCTTCAAGTGACAGAGGGCAGCTGGATGAGGTGACCCGTTAAGGGGCTTTACTGAGAGGTGGAGTCAGCCTGAGCAGCTGCCCATAAAGCTGCAGAGGACTGAGGGCTGGATTGGAAAAGTGTTAGAGACGTAGAGAGTCAAATGCCTACAGGGCCAGCAGGTGACAAAGAAGAGGGCTGGGTGGGGACTGTGTCCCACCAAAGAGAGCTTTTCCCATTAAAATCGGATGCTGCCACTGTATTGTCCCACAGTGCAGGCCCTGAAGGGTATTGACTTTTTTTCTTCCTTTTTTTTTTCCTTTTTTTTTGGGGGGGGGGCAGGGCTCTAAATTAATATATGAATTGTAATTTTTAAAAGTTTAATCAGTTCAAGAAACGATCACCATAGCTGAGAGAGTACCAGTCTACAATGTCTGGGGTAAAGAGTGACTCCTGCTGCACTGTGGGTGGAAAATGTGACAGTTTAAAGTTTCCCAACAGCAGAAAGGACCACTTCCTGTGTTTTCCCTCCTGGCCCCATCCTGCAGGCAGAGGCCATGTTTGTGCTTGTTGGGTAGAGTGAGATAGAATGGTGAAACTCTTCCCTGCCCAGAAATGGATAGTAGCTAGAATGATGGGGAGGAGGAGGAGAAAGGATGCCCTTGCTGGTGGCACGTGTGGCTGCTTATCATACCAATAGCTCTGGTCCCAGAGCCAGGCCCACTGGGGCCCAGCACAGGAACCATGGGAGGCTGGCTGTTTAGTCCCTTGTCTTGCCTGGTTCCTCCTGGGGTCAGGGGCCCCTTGGAAAGTGCATAGCTTTCTCCTAGGCTACACCCCTAGCCAGACCCATGAAAGGGACATGACACTATTTGATCCATCTCAGAGTTCAGGGAGCAGGGATGCTAGTCCCAGTAGCTCCCATGCCTACCTTGAGAGGTGCAAGACTGGACAAGATCTTTTTTGGATCTGAATGCGGCTGCTTATCCTTGGGAAGGCAGCCTTTTTTATGTTCTCTGGGAACTTCAAAATATGACAAAATATGGGAGAGAGAGGTGAGAGGAAAACTGGAGTCAGGTGTATTTGGAGAACAGCTCCAGGTCCCAGAGCCTTAGCACGGGAGCTCTGAGGCCCAGGAAAGAAAGCAGCAGGTCGAGCCCTGACTTGTTCAGGATATGAGGGAGCAGCTGATGGCCAGGGTGTGCACACACCCCTGCTGTTCACCTCTCCCAAGCTAAGGGCCTCCAGCCTGTGGAGACTGTCATAGGCTGCCATAGGCCACAGTGGTGCTTTTTTATTTTTATTTTCTATTCTTCCTCATATGTAGCAAGCCACCCTTCCCTCTGTGGCCATTTACCCAGGCTGTGCTCTCTGGGGCTGGCCTGGCTGTCTGGTTTCCAGGGAGGCAGAGGCAGGGACTTTGAGGCCTTAGTCACCATCCATGACATCACCTCATCTCACTTCCTGTAAAGAGACAGGGATCTGGCAGGTGTCTCCAGACCTCCTGACTCAGGCCTGCCTTTCAGCTTTTCTACCCCACTCTCAGGGGTTGTTGGCTGAAGAGGGTCAAGGTGAGGTCAGAGGAGGCCGGTTGGTGGAGGTGGCATGGACAGAGGTTCCTTGTGCTTGGTATTGGGTCAGAGAACCGTCCTCTCCATCCAGCTACCTGCCAGTCCTTTCTCCTCCATAGCCTCACATTTCCATGCTCCCCTGGCCCCTCATGCTAGTCACCCATCCTTAGTGGGCATGGCCAAGTGGGCAGAGCAGCGGCCTGCTGGCCCTAGACTTGATGATGAAGCCTAGAGACTGGGTACTGGGGAGCAGACTCAGGAAATTGACCGTGGCTGATGTTAGTCCAGTCATACCATGCCCTGACCCCTTTCCACCTGGGAAGATGTCCTGGCTCAGGGAAATAGGTCTAATGATAGCTGTGCAAGCTTTGTGCCCTGAGGTCTGTACATGTATAACCCCTGGCTTTCCTGCCTGGAATGAGTTAGGGCTTTACACATCACCGCCCCACCCTGACATGCTGTCTGTGGTGTTCAGGTGCAAGGATGTGCAGGTGGGGACCAACAAGCTAGAAGGGTAAAGGGTCATGATATCCTTTGAGGGAGTGTAGGTGGGAGTTAAGGATTCATCCAACCGGGTACTGCACCCTTCCCCAGCATCTCCAGCCGGGGGGGTGGGGGTGGGGGGCTGCCACCATACTAGCTGCAAGTCCTGTGCTAGGACCCTCTCACTCCAGTTCGGTGCTTTGGGGTCCCAAGCTTCCTTGTTAAGTCTGAAAAGAAATCTGGGTACACTTGACCCCTGGGCCAGTGATGACGGACCGCCCATCCCCTGTGCTTTGTTGGGCTCTTGTGTTGTCCCTGGTGCCACCATTCTGTCCTTGTGTCAGTATTATCCCTGCCTTTCAGTGCACACTTTGTCTCATTCTTTTCTCACCTTCCCCTGAAATGAATAAAGTCTCCCGGCTCCCATCATATGGGCTAGCAGAAATCACGTGAAACCTTGTATGCTCTCCTTTGGGTGCTGCAGCCCAGGCCCATTCCCACTCTCATCAGCCACTCTGGCTGCAGGAAGAAGCCAAGCTCCCAAATAGATAGGAGAACCAAACTGTGGGGAACAGGAAGCCTCAGGGCCCTGGATTCTGACTCTCAGCGGGTCAAAGCTGTTTAGCTCCTCCTATCCCTAATCTGGGATCATGTTTCCCAGCCTGCTGTGAGGTGCCTCTTCCTCACCCAGCTCCCAGGATATAGCCAGGCCATAGCTCTCCACAGTAAATCAGGATAAAGGAGAAAGACAGTTCATTTCAGGAAACCACAGCAACCAAGATCTGAAGTTCCTTCTCATCAGTTGGCCATCCACAGCTCTGAGGAAACCTTTGGCCCCACCACTTTGTCCTTTGGCTCTAGACCTCTTAGCCACCGACACTAAGGAAAGAGCCACACTGAAAACCAAACCAACACACACAAGAATTATCTCTTAGAGCCCACAGCATTTGTCAGCAAAAATCATTCCTCACATGTCTCTCCTTGGGCTTAAGAGTAAAACTCAAGTCTTAAGAGAGGGGGCTATGTCACAGACCAGCCAAAACCCACCAAGTCCTAGTTAGAACAGTGTAGCACAGAAAGCCTCTGTCATTTGCAGTGGTTAGAGTAAGCATGGCAGCTACAGAGAAGAGCCATCTGTTAGTATCGGGGAGTAGCTTGAACTATATACACTTAGAGACAGTTTTGTTGCCAGCTAAACTATACCCCCAGATTTTTCTTTTAAACACACACATTTACGCAAAGGTAATCAGAATTTGTGAATATGGTGAATGCATGGTATTCCATGGCGACATGCTGTTTAAACATCTAATTCCAGTTACAGTGAAACACATCAGAGAACTTGGTAGGAAGTCCCAACGGTACAGACCCACACTGGGCCAACTGCTCATGAACTGAGGGATAGGGATGGCCTAGGGTGAGCCTAGGCCATCATGGTCATGCTAAGCCAGTTCCATAGAATGCAGATATGTTGCTGCTGACCTCTGGGCTGCCCAGAACCCAGTTTCCTGGGGGAAAGCAGTTACTTTATTCTCTGCTGCCCAGGTTCTCCCAGGCACATAGCCTGGCCCTATCTCATTTAGGCATATGACTAAACTGACTTTTCCCAAAAGCCCTAAAGAGACTGATGGACTAACTCCTCCTCCCCATCTGCCAGGACCTAGCATTTTGACTGCTGCTGTGGAGGGCAGTGGCAATGGGAAGCAATTGTCATACCAAGGACTAAGATTGACCCAGATGCAGGTTGCCTGGCAACACTTAGTATTTGCCAAGGTGGGGTGGAGAAGCAGCTGTCAAGGCCTGCCAAGTGGAGCAGACAGGTCAACACTTTGAGCCAGCTCACGAGACAACTCTTTCCAATCCCTAGCCAGTGAGAATTTGTTAATGGGAAACAAAATGTCCAAGAATTTAGGTGTAATAGCATTGAAGTAGTCATTTTCTTCTGGGCTCAGTAGGTCATAGGGACTGGAGACAGTACAGAAGGGCCAACTTCTCTGCAAGACACATAGAATTCACATTTTTCTGCCCCAGGATGAGCTGATCTGCACCACCACCAGGCTTTCTAGATGGCCCTTGTCTTCAACAATTAAAGGACAGGCAAGAGTGCATGCACCAAGCTGTTGGGGGAGGGGAGTACTGGGTCCCAGACAGCTCCTTCCTGGTAGTAGCCAGAGATGGGCCTATGTCATACCTTGGGAAAAGAGAAACTGCATCATGCATTACTTAACACACTAAAACCCAATTCTCGAATGAGTCACTACATACCAGCATAGGAACTAGAAAGAAAAAGCAAACAAAGCTGGTTGATAGTAGCCTTTTCTGGTCTCCAGCTAAAAGCTATTTCTGAGCTTAACTCTCAGACGCTGACCCACGATAGGTAACCTACAATGCCTGGCTCCCCTGTTCCTCTGGAAAGGTTATGTCTGAGAAGCATAGGCTAGCAAGAGATAAAGTGAAGATTCACAATTCTAGGCTGGGTCTCTGCTTCCTCTGCTGCAGGAGGCTGTGGAGACCACACCCCTACTGCCTCCTAGCTGTGCTGTTTCTTTTCCCTGAAGTGGGAGCGGGAAATCGCTCAGAAAAGTGTTTGCTGTACAAGCACGAGGACCTGTGTTGGATCCTTGGAACCAACGTAAAACTGGACATGGTGGCTCATACTTGTAATCCCAGCAGTGGGACAGCAGAGAGGTGGATCCCTGCAGCTCACTGGTCAGCCAGGCTGGATTGCTTTATCAGTTCTAAGCCGATGAGCTTAGAAAACTCAAAAAAACAAGCTGAATGGATCCTGAGGAATGACCACAGTTGATCACTGATTGCCATGTGCACGCACGTGAGCACGCGTGCACACACACAGAAGCGCTGCATGAACTATTAACCAAAATTCTGAGTGTTTGGTGACTGAGGCGAGGCACTGGGGGATCCTCCATGCAAGGAAAGTACTAGAACTCAAAAGCTTGGAGCTTTCAGATACATCCCAGCCCACAGGGCAAGTCATCCCACCTTTCTGGGGACAACCATTGGGTTCAATCTCCTACCACAAGTTTTTGACATTCAGCATCCTTTCCTTGCCATGGCACAAGCAATACAGACCTAAAAAGCCCTCAGAAGTACTTCTTCAGCTTCCTTTCGCCAAAGGATACAAACTCAAAGGCAGAGGGATTAACTGATTTACCTAGTCAACAACCAGGCTGGCCAAGGTAAGGCTCCTCAATCCTACTCTCTCCCTAGATATGCTTTCTCCTTAGTCAGTGGACTTTAATAAAGAGTACACCAGCAGCTCCAGGTAGTTTCAAATAACACCAGGCCTCTGGAGAGATGGCAACTGGAGATTGAGTATGGGGCTGGCAATTTGTTGAGGTAAGGCAGAAAACCATACCTTCATCTCGCTTGGCTTTGGCTTTGTATACTGCAGACGGAGACCAGAGAAGGACCTAAGTAATAGCAGTTAGGCACAGCAAGGAGAAGTGTTCTAACAACAGATGGCCCACAGCTCAGCCCTGGCTCGACGACGAGGGATGATCAGAAATAGATCCTGGCAAGAGGCATCTGCCACACACGTCACGCCTCACGGGGCTGCCACTGCTTTGACCGGCAACACCCCACTTTCCACACCAACCCATCTGTAAAACTCTACAGAGACACAAGGCAGCAGATGGAATAAGAGCAAAAAGCAGCTAAATTAGAGCCCTTCTTTTCTCACATGGGGACAGAGAAGGCAGCTGCACCCTGCGAAGGGCGGGGCAGGGGACTTCACTTAATCCCTGTCCTCCCAAGCTTCAGAGCACAGGGAAGACAACAGAGACAGATGACAAAAATGTCTGTTCTCCATTTAGATCCTGAGGCCCCACCCTCAGGACCAAAGTTCCTCAGACCCTTTCTTCGCCCACCACATTCTCCAGCTCTCTCTCAAACCCCATGCTTTTCAGAGTCTTAATAATAAGACCAACAACATAGGGGGCATGATAAGCCTTTATTTGGAAAAACGTTGCCTGGTGCTGCTGGCTCCAGGGTGCAGTTTAAATGCCATTTAAACCCCCACACTTCATTTCTAAAACAGAAACAAAGGAGAAACAAGGAAAAGATAAACCATCAAGCTCTGGCCCTCCACCTCCTTCAGCAGTTGAGCCTGCATTTCCTGGCAGAGGGAATAATCATTGGCCCTTGTTCTGAGAACCAACAGGGATGGTTGTGGAACCATCTCAGGAGGTGCCCAGAGAGCGACGGTGAAAGTGGGCTGTGGACAGATGGGCCTGGGGCTCAGACAGGCAGATGTCCAGTACCCAGAAAACAAAACTTAAAAATACACACACACAGGAAAAGGCGGCCCCCAGCCCTGAGCACGGGAAGCTGAGTCTGCAGCAGAGCATTCCAGCCAGGTCTTGGCTTTCAAATCAAGGGAAGAATATAACTTCTGCTCCACCATGCCTAACCATAGCCTCAGTCAATTCCCTCGTCTCTGGGCCAGCAGATATTCTGAAAGCTATGTGGAGGCTCTGACCTAGGCTGTACTCCAGCAGTGAATAAGGCATGCAGGTGACACGGTTTGGGCTACAGAGGTTTTCAGTAGGTTAGGGGAGCCCATGTTTTGGGAGGAAAGGCAGAGCAAATGGGCAAGCACCGCCACCTTGAGTTCTTAGACCTAGTTTGCCCAAAGCCAGGCTTCTGTTGAGATGTTTTGGCCTGAGCTCAACACCAGGCTTCTCCAGAGAGAAATTGGGAGGGGACAAGAGAGGGGTGTGGGGGGTGAGAAGAAGAAAACAAACTATCTTAGGTGCACAGAGGTCAGAGATCAAGCCCTCTGGGGCCCCAGTGCTGGCTAAGGCTACTGTAGAACCTCCTGCTCTTTCTACTGGGACTCCAACTCTTACCTAGTTCTTCAGAGTCTGGTGAGACAACAGTTCCCTGAAGGTTCAGTCTCCTCATCCTTAAAATGCCTTAAAGCTTCCCAGCACTGTGCCAGCCCAGTGAACCCCGCACAAGGCATCAACCCGCCTTCCTCAAGGAAGTTAGTGAGGAGATCTGGGGTATAGGGTATCCCTGAGCTGCTGCTCCAGGCTGTGGGCCAATTTGTCTCCAGAAATAAGTGTGCCCAGGATGGCTAGATGAC